TCTCTCTCTCTCTCTCTCTCCTTACATCTCTCTCTCTCTCTCTCTCTCCTTACATCTCTCCCTCTCTATCCTTACATCTCTCCCTCTCTATCCTTACATCTCTCCCTCTCTATCCTTACATCTCTCCCTCTCTCTGAATGGAGGGAGGCAATGAGCATCACAATTTCTTGTCAGGAAAATGAAGGTTGAGCAACCCATTTCATCCACACGCACACAAAGCACCAACAAAATAGAACCAAAACAAAAAGGATAAAACAAAGGAAGAAAGAGTCTCCTCTCTTGACGCAGTCCCATCAATCCCAAGTTCCAACAACACATCAAAACTCACCATTTACAAACCATCCCCTCCCCTCCCTCCCTCCCAATCCAACGGTCAGGATTCACTTCCCCCCTCTCATCTACCGCCCATATTCATCCACCTCTCTCATCACGTACTTCCTTACTCAAGATTTGTCTACCGCTCAACATATTAAGACATATAAATCTGATCCAAAGATTGGAAGTTTAACATATCCACAAAAGTAAGAAATTTTCTCATAAGAAAGATAAAGATATATTTTCTTGAAAAACATTAATAATTATCGAGGGGACGAAGACTTTCTCATTCTCAACGAAATAAACTTCACGCTCTGAGAAGCAAGGACACAGTGCGTCATTGAACCGACACCCACCTTTCGGCTAATCTAACCTCTTCCATCTCTCAGGACCATTAAGAAGTAGGTAGTACATGAATTTCCCCTTATTGTCCTTGACCAGTCTTTCTACTAGATTCAATGGACTAACACCTTCGTCTACTACCCAAATAATTTGATTCACGACATCGAGTATTTGCTCTTTCGATACGGTCGGCACAAATATTAGACTAAGTTTTGGTTTTCACATGACTTTTAGCTTTAAAGCTCTCATCTTTCTCTCTCCTCCTCTTGCTTCCATGAACTGATTTAAAGCTTGGAAGAACTGAGTCTTAGTGTCTGTCTTCTTCTTCTTATTAGAAAAAACACAACACATCAATAACACAGTATGATTGATAAGATGAAAAAAACCCACAAATTTTAGTCCTTTTTTTTCCCCTTTTTCCCACTCCCCGCTGTACTTTTTCCTCTAACTTAAAAATCTTTCCTTTTTTGGGAAATTTCTCTGTTCTTTTCTTTGTTTTTCTGTTTCTGTTTTTGTTTGGTTTTTTTTCTTTTCTGTTCTTCAAATGAGTGTCGCCACTGTTTTATCAGCTCATCAGAACAACGACCAAAAGTAAGTGTTTATGTTTGTTTTTGTAGTGTTATTTATCTCTTCTTTACCCTAAAACCCTAATTACTTAAAAACTTCCATATGGGCAGCTAGAATTATGAGATTTCTTGCTTTTTTGGCATTTTTCTTTATATGGGTTTCCAAATTTTTCTCATTTGATTCAACCCATTTTGCCAAAACCCCATTTTTGGACAAACCCCATTTTTTCTTCCAAAGGGTTCCCGCAAAAGGGATTCTGTAACTCCCCAGGCAAAGTGTTTCACGTGTTAGTTAGGCCCCTCGGACCACCCCAGGCCTCGGATCCCATAAGTGAATAGAAACTAAAGCAATACTAAACGAGCAGACGTCCTAACCTGCAGGGGTCATGCAAATACATAGGCATTGGCACATTTTCATTATTTTTCTTGATTCTATGGCGATGGTGTTTGTAAGATTTGAAGTTGACAGAAGAGAGTGAGCACACAGAGGCTTTTGGTATAATTATATGCCATTGCTCTTGCGTGCTCACTTCTCTTTCTGTCAGCTTCCATCGCCAATTCCTTCTTCCTTCTCTTTTTTCCCCCTAAATTCTCTTTTTTTTTTTTGCCTAATTTTTGTTTGAAATGAATTTTCTGCTATTGTTTTTGTTATATTTTTCTTGGTTTTGATGATTTTGTTTATGTAATTTCACCGTTTAGAATCGGCTACTGTACATTGTTAATGGTAATGGACTCTCCAATAATGCTTCAATTTCCAGGTTCTCTCTCTTTTAACTCCTTTTTTTCATTCATTTTAGCTTTTTCTGCTTCAAATCTTTTGGTTTAGGGTTGAATTGAGATGGGTTTTATATTTTGAGTTGTAAATCCAATTTTAGGTTAATAATTTTCATTTTGTTGGTTTTGAAGCCTAAATCTCGGTGGAATTCTCTTAGAAGAGTTTTCTTTTTTATTGAATTCTTGATATTATTGAAGAGGTTTTCTCAAAATCAACAGTAATCTTTGTGTATGTTCATTTACTGAAATCTTGTTACGAATTCTCCTTCATCTAAATAATAAGGTTTAGTGGATTATTCAATCAAGCGACAAATGATGTGTACAAAGGGCAAGTCGAACCTCCTCCTCCTCATGTCACAGTGATCCGAACAATTCATTGAACTATTCAATCAATAGGAGCGGCAAGCGGGTGTGTACAAAGGGCAGGTCGAACCTCCTCCTCTTTACCCTTTTTGAGGATTTTTGAAACAAGGAAACTGGTAATCTTTTTACTGTTTTTTACTTAAAGTCGAACGTGAAATTGCAGTGACAAGAAGTAATCGGAACTTTTTTGTATTAACTTAATTTTGGAATTCAATTATTACATCATTGACTACTTTTACATCTTTTTGTTTTGGTGCTAATATTTTAATTCATTATATAATCGCCAAAGGGCCAATATAAGTTATTAGATCTTGCCTTCTTGATGTATGCCCATCTTTTATTTGCTCAAACTGTTTGTACTCGTTGATTTGATTTGATTTGATTTTAATCTAATTTTATATTGTATAGTTGGCATTAAAATTAGAACAATCACGTGATCCGGAAATGTAGCTAAGAGAAATTGTCATTTGTGTATAAACTCCACTTTAATTAGTGTTACGAGCTTAGGCAACTCATCAACATGGTTTTCTTTAGTTCAATAAATGTAGGATGAGAGATCAAACTTTGAACTTTACAAAGAGCGTAACAGGTATTTGGTCAGTGATATCACTTGCAAGATCTTTTTTTGTTTGTTTGTTTCGATTACTCTTCTAGTACTTTTTGATGGTCCTCTATGATTTAAATGATTCTCACAGCTCCTTTTGTTAGCTTTTGTGAGTAGGTAATGCTTTTGAATGTATCAATTCCTTGGATAAATTTGGTTTGTTCTACATTTTATGGATATACTTCTTCAAAGCATTAATCTCTTTCTTGGGCTATTGAAATATAACAATGCTTATTTCATAATCTTTCTTCACAAGGAAGGTTAAAGTGGGTTCATTGGTAGATGATTTTGCAAGTATGTTCATTTCAAGATATTAACTTTCCAATACATTTGTCTATGAACCATTTGATACTAATTGCTTGTTGAGCTTTTTATTCAGTTGGTTTGAGGGTTTGAAGTTTTTTTTTATATATATATTGGCATTCAAAGGAAGTGAATGAAGAAATACAAGTTTCTTGTGTTCTGAATGAAGAAATACAAGTTTCTTGTGTTCTTGGGGTATAATTTCATATCATATCAGTACATGAAGATCTTCACATGGAAATGAATCATAAAATCTAGTGAATTACTTCAATTATTCGACTCCTTGTAGCAAGGTCGAGTTGCTTACCACAACAAAGTTTGTCAAAATCTCACACAAATTTACAAATAACGATATAGTTATGATTCTGACTATATATATGCTAGATAAATGAGAACAATAAAGTTACCATGGCCGATTCTTGGACGGAGCTTGACTCGAAGCTGTCCCCATGTCATCGAGGTCAAAAGAATCATACAACGACACATTCTACAAATAAAAACTCCGAAAGGGTTAGAAAGGGTTAGACGTGAAACAAAATCTAGACTTCTGATTCATGATGTTTTGTTGGGCATTCATTTATAAAGCTTGGTTTCAAGTAGGAAATGATTGTTTGGCTGATGCTGCCAATGAGTTTAGATTGAACATATTCTCTAAAGTTCGATCGTGTTAGTTTTTGGACTTCCGCGCCCAGATGGATAGTAGTTAGTAGGTTTGGTAATACAATTTGAATAATACATTGCTGTAGAAGAAGTACACAAATTTAAATTTCCTTAGCCGGTTTCATGGTGTTCATACTGTAATAATCATAAAAAATGAAAATCTATTGGTATCTGACTTAAGATAATGTCAAAATACTTGCAGCATCCCAAAGTAGACCCACTTCTAAACAGTGCATCAGTTCAAGAATGTGTACCTGAGTGACTAGTGGTTGAATCACTAACCGGTTAGTACGATACGCTGGAGCCAACCAAGGAGAGAACCTAGCACCAAAAACAGGAAAGAAAAACACGAACCTTATCGATTCGCATTAAACTAAGCGAGAATGAAATTTTAGTATAAACAACCAACGGGAGCAAAGTTTGAAGCTCTAAACATATGATATAATGATTTGGGAAAGCAAAACAAGGGTTAGATTGTTGTTGAATGCTTAGAAGTGGAGGGAAAAGTACAGCAGCTGTATAAATTTTACTTCAGAGCTTTAGCACTAAATGCGCTCATAAACAGCTAACATGAGAATCATTTCTAAGATTGCCTGAACCAAGTCAGAATCTACTGTTCTTGATGAGCTTCCATGTACATTTTTCTTTCTTTTCATAAAATTGTAAATGAAGAATAAGACTGAAAAAAACAGTACAATTTCAAATTGAAATGGCAGAAGTGAAAAAAGATACCTTTACTTCAGGTGTAATTGCACCACTTTATCAGCCTGTCCGCTGCCCTCAGAAACAGTGAAAGTTTGTCACTTTTTATCGGTACTCTTGTTCTTGTCCTTTTTTTGATGCACTTTTTTTTTTTTCTTACTTCCACATACCCAATTGAACAAACAGTTCATATCCTTTCACTTTTTGCTTATCTCAATCTGCCTTTTTGCTGCAAAATTTCTCGTCTTTATTCTCTTTTACAATACAATCATTTGAGGTGAGGTGATGGCCTGCAAGTATTGTGTCATATCACTCCAGAATTTCTAACGATAAGATAATGTCAAGACTTACTTCTGCACAAAAAGCTTGGCTGGAAATGATGTACTCTTAAATAGCCAATAAATGAACATTTCAAAGAGATCTTATCAGGAAAATTTAATTGAACAGGATTACAAAGTTTGTGGAAGAGTGTCAAGCAGTTAATGCACTTTTGGAAAGAGCCCCAGTTGCAAATAAGAGATTCCTAATCAGAAAGAAAATGAAATCATTAAGTTTAGATAACAGTTATGGGGCAAAAAAAAAACTAGTTCGGTCTGTCTGTAACCGCAAACTGTAAACTGGAGTCGACTTGGTCGGTAGAGTTTTCAAGGATCTAAGTCTACTGGCAGTTCCACTTTTGCTGAAAATGAGAAAAGAAACGTTAACTTTGCTAATGTCAAATTTTAACTGAAACATCTAAAACTATTTTAGGGAGAACTCACTTTTCATCTGTTCTTGGTGCCTTTGTGCTTGAATTTACGTCCCATAATTTCACTGTGCAATCAGCAAGCCAGGGGCAACGAGAGAGCCCTCACAACTGAAGTGGAAAACAACAAGTATTGGAGGATTGTTTATGTCAACATCTAAACTCTGAATGTAGGCAGGGATGTGGGGTGGGTGAAAATTTTTCTTTTATCCACCTGAAAGTAAGGGTCCAAACGCATGATGTGTGTCCAATCAAAGGTGTAACACAGTGACCAGTTGATAGGTCCCACATCATAATCATACCGTCTTCGTCACCAGATGCCATGAACCGACCGTCAGGTGACATTGCCAGCGACAGAATCATGCTCCTATGACCAATGAAAATTCGAACACATTCCCCACTTTCGACATCCCACAATCTAACAGTTCTATCACTTGATCCAGTTGTGATGTAATTGCAGTTGGCATGCCATTGAACACACTGAAGAGATCGTGAGATTTGTTATGGTTCATATTTACCAGAAACATTAGGATCAAGCAACAAAAAAATCATCAATAAAAAGCTTAGATATTTGTTCTCGAAGATAAGGTTTTAAACTACAAAAAAAAAAATCAGTGTTACGATTACGACTTCCATTATTAAAGGGAGAGGGAATTGTACTGCAGAAGACTAGTTACAAATAAGAAAACGACTGCATGCAGAGAAAGAGAATGATGCTTCAAATTTGAGGGGAAAAGGACAAACCCAGGTAGGAAGAAAAATGGCCCCGCTATCTGCTTGAATATTCTAAATATAAAAATAGATCTGCTTCTAGGGATATTTGGATGGCTGCATGTGGTTCCAACTTAATATCTTAGCAATAAAATATCATAGAAGGAATAAAGAATGAACTGCTCACATCCACATCGGACAAATGTCCTGCGATTAAAATGAAGTATAAACAGAAAAGACTATTGAAACTTGAGAAAAAGAGAGTGAGCAACCTTTCTATCGATAAAGAATTAAGAAACTAGAATTCAAAAAATAACAAATCAAACACAGGAACAACACCTTGCGCAAACAGGAACAACAACAGAAGGAATAAGGAACAAGATCAATTCTTTTAAATATGTTGTTCATCCATAAACTACGTACTAACCCAAGCAAAGGAGTTACCATTCAAGATCACAGTATCAAACCATTAATCGGCCTCCTAACCTCCCTTCAATTCTTTATTAAAAGTACGTATAATTAATGAACAAACCCTTGCTCTGTCCACGCTTAGTAATTTGAAAAAAGTCTGTTTCTTTGATTGTGTCTTTTCACCCAGTGCCTTGTTTTTGTTTCCCTCTTTAAATACTAGGTTCTGGTTCTTGTTTTTATATCCTTATTCTATACTTTAGTATCCTTATTCTATACTTTCGTATCCTTATTCTATACTTTAGCAAACTTTAGCAAACGTCCCTGCCTACGTATATGAGATATTTTAAGAAGTGAACATCTTTCTTAGTCGCAAGGTCCGGCGAAAGAATAGGAAAGATGATTTCACCATTTCTGACCAAGAACAAGTCCTATCAGAAGAATACTTCTTTTAGTGGGACGATAGCTTGCCCATTAGGTCTTATATTAGGAAGTATGGGAATACTATTATTTAACAACTCCATTTTTTCTGCTAGAAAATCACTTCTCCCCTTTTTTTTCTAGAAGAGCTGTAGGGAGTTGTGTATATGTTCACAGAAAAAGAAGCTGAAATCCACATATCCTGGAAAAGTTGCGAGCATGTATTAAAAAAGAAAGAGGCATGGTTTTAGGACACTCAAGAATCTACATACCTTCTTCTTCTTTTATTATTATTACTATTATTTTTATTTTATGTTTTTGGTTGGGAGGTGGGAGTAGTGAGAGTGAGACATCCTCGCAGTGTGTTTGCAAGGGGCTTCTAAATATTCAGATTTCTTACCCAATCCTCATGATATAACCTCTTTAATGAACGGCTTGAGTTTTTTTTTTTTTTTTTTCTCCCTCTTTTCCCCCCCTCTGTATAGGCTAAGTTACTTTGTTTAGATCGCAACTCAAATACTTGAGATATTCTACATCACAAGACGTTGAGTATTAAATTATTATAAATTTGAGTAGGATCTTGAGTAGGATCATGAACAGCATCTCTCACTGGTGTGATACTACAAATGTTGAATAATGAAGTCAAGAGTGAAGACCTTTAGTGGTGGGACCAAATAATGAAAGAGAACTAGAAAATTGTCGCCCTACCTCACCATCGCTGGACTCTATTTCTAACACTCTTAGCTCACGGCTACAACCTCCTCACTCCATATTTCACTTCAACAAACTCTAACGGATACTGATAGCCTATACACCAGTTAAACTACGCAGCAACCACATATATCTAATAAAATCATTACCTGAACATCCCATACTGCCGTTTAGTTTTGTGCTCCACAAACGAACTGCAACAGTACAACAAAATATTCATAATCTCAAGAAAGAAAACTATAACCAAGCTTAAAAGAAAACAGAAGTGCAATTAAGATCATACCCGTTGTGTCTGCAGAGGAGTAAAGAACAAAATCCCCAATGGGACTGAAAGTGGCAGAGTGAACAGGCCCAGAATGACCTTGAAACAATGTATAAGACCACTTCCCACTTGTATGCCCTCTCATTTGATCAGTAGTAGACAAGCGGTTTTCACCCTGCAAAACAGCTGGTAGAGGTGATAGCAAAGGTCAAAATCCATTCTGAAAATATGTGAGCAAAAAAAATTCTAATGAAAAACTCATGATGATGCCTAGCGTGACACCAAGAGAAAACAAGATTTTCTAACTGATAATGAAATCTGGAAGAGGGAAATGGTAAATAGTACATGGAGAAGATGAATAGTTCTCCTGAAGTAGGAGATAGCAAATTGTTCGAGAATTAGGAAGGTGGAGGGGAATGAAAAGCACTAAAGAATTTTAAACAACTTTAGTTCGTA